GGATGGAGTCGCCAGCCAGTGTTCCTCCTCGGCAACTCCACCCAACCTGCCTCAGTTTCTCCTTCTGTAAAAGGAAAGGTTCCAGCCTCTATGCCCAGACGGGGCTTCCTGGTCAGCCTTCTGGCGTCTCCTTAGTCCCCCCACTTGGACTGTAGCACAGAGGGGAGCCCGGCTGGCTGTGCACACCGAGACCAGCCAACAGACGATGCAGGAAACATGGTAGGGTGCAAAGAGGTGAGTGCACGGGAGCCTCATGGGTGGAAGTGAGGACAGTTATGGGGTGCCGGGGGAGAGAGGGGAGCCTTACGGGTGGGGGTAAGAAGGGCTGTGGGTACTCAGAGAGAGAGGGGAGCCCCACGGGTGGGAGTGAAGACAGTTGTGGGGTGCTGGGGGAGAGGAGAGCCTCAGGAATGTGGACTGAGGGCTGAAAGCTACTCAGCACTTCCTCACACCTGCCTGCCAACCACAGCTGTGAGTGTGTGTTACAGAGTGTGTGGGAGAGAGCACGTGAGGGGTCAGTGTGTGTGCGCGCGTGAATGTGTGAATGCATGCACCTCAGTGAGTGTGAGTGAGCATGTGAGTGTATCGGTGAGTGTGTGAGAATGTGTGTGAATGCAGGTGAGGATGTCAGTGTATGTGTGCATGTATGCATGTATATACATCAGTGAGCATGTGTGTTTGTGAGAACATGTGTGTGAGCCTGTGTGGTTAAGCCCGAGTGTGCACTTGAGCAGGCATGTGTGCCCGCATGTGTGTGTGACCGTGGTGAGTGTAGGCAGAGGGCAGGGAGCGTCCCCATCAGCTGTCGGGAGAGCCCCGTGGGCTGTGAAGGACGGGAGGCCAGCGAGGACCGGGGAAGCTGGCGTACTCACTGTGTGCAGGAAGCCCATGAGGTAGCGGAGGACGGCATAGTTGTGCTCCGGGAGCCCGTGCAGCACCTGGCGGCAGTGGGCCACACGCAGGCTGCTCTCCACACCTGCAAAGGCCAGGGCAGACGGTCAGCCTGGGGCCCCGACTTCCTGCTCGGCCCTGTGGCCATCCCCCCCACACCCCTTAATTTACCCCTGCTCTGTCTGTGCCTTCCAGACACTGATAAAACCAAGCACCAGGAGTGGTCGGGACCAGGGGTGGGCCAGCCAAGTTCCGCCCACCACTCTGGCCCACAGGCTGTTGGTGTCGATAAAGTTTTATTGGGACATAGCCACACCCACTCATGGCTGATGCTTGAATGCGGTTACAGTGCCAAGTGCCACCCATTTGATGACTGCCAGACCCACGAGCCCCACACGGCACTGCTCTGGGGAAAGGCAGCCCCCAAACAGGGGCCTGGAGCCCACTCCTTCCTCCAAACCCACACCCCCATCTGCCGCTGTGCCCTTGAAACCAAAGTCCCCAGCCAGCCAGTGTGCACCTGGCCCCTGCTGCAGGCCCAGCTGCACAGAGACCCACGTGCACAGGCACAGGGACACACAGATACAGACACATCACACACACATATGGACATACACAGACATAACACGTGTACAGAGACACCACACACACAGAGGGGGGGGGCATCTCTATCGGCTTGTGGGGTCCTGGTCTCTCCAACCTCAGTGAGCTACTCTCTCCCCACCCACCTTCAGAAGTGCTTCCTTTACCAAACCATACAGCACCCAAGCTGGGAAGGTGTTGTGATGATTCATGTCCAGCGTCCACGTGGCTGGGCAGAAACGGAATCCATTGGGCTTCCTTAGTGTAATACAACGTAGTCACCCTCCATATTGGCACCAGCTGTGATCAGCCAGTAGGTTGAAAGCCAGCCCATTTCTCTGTGGGCATTGCCTATGTATGCTATAGATGGATATTCTGACCAAGCTCATTCTCTTTCAATCCTCTTACCATCCTCTGACCTTGGGATGTGAGCCTGACATCGGACGTGCGAGTTTGGATTCACCAGCTCCTGGAACCACATGTGTCAGGAGACCCCTCTGGCCTTCGGACTTTCCAGCTTCCACAACCACATCAGCCACTCCCTTGAAATATAAAAGCGCCTCTCTGGCTTTGCTCCTCAGGAGGCAGCTGGAGGGAGTTGTCAAAGGAGGGGAGTCCATGCTGTAATGCTCTGGAAACTCCATGAGGGCCAGTGGCCTTCCTCCTGCCGCCCTGTCTATCCCAGAGAATGTACTGTGTTCCCAGAGGCAAAGTCCCCTCACCAAGGGTTAAAAGTCACACTCCTGGACATGCACAATTGGGGGCTCGTCAAATATTTCCAGATCTCTCTCCAAACTCCCTGCTACTGAGTCAATTTTGACTCACAGTGACCCTGCAAGACAGGGTAGAACTGCCTCTGTGGGTTTCTGTGGGAAACAAAGCCGGGAAGAGGGCATGTGCGGGCAATTTCTCAACATTTGTGTTAGACAGTGTTCTCTCGAGAAACAAAACCAAGACCCTTATGATTTTATAGATAGATAGATAGATAGAGCATAAGAAACAACTAATTAGTCTACAGAGCAGTACAAGTGGCTCAGTGCAACTCACTTCTGTGAGACAGTTAATACACTGGGAGTCCTTCACCTCACTAGGGCTGCTGGGTACAAGTCAAGGAAGCAGACAGCTGAGTCTTCTGTAGAGCAATTCAGGCAGTCCGGCCACAGGCAGCAAACAGCAGGGCAGGTCACCAACAGTCAGCCAGATGACAGGGCTCGACAGTCCCCAGCTCAAGGGATGTACACACCAGCAGTGTGGCGAAGCAGGTCTAGAAGGAACCTCAAACTATGCAACATGGTCCACAGGTTGGGAGTCCCAGAGGCAGTGTAGCTCGCAAGATGAGGCAGAGAACCAGCTAAGGCAGCCGCACACTGGTCTGATCATCAAAGAGCAAGAAACAAGAAAGGTGAGGCTCACTGAGCCATTTATCTCTTTGCCCTTCAATTAAACTGGAACCTTATTAATCCCACCTGTGTTTATTGGCCAGGCTGGCACAATAAACCTGCCTATCACAACATTCATGCATTAAGGAGTCTGGGAGGCCAGGGCTCCCATGGAGGAAACCTTCACGTTCATGGGTTGGAGATGCGTGCCACTCACATTCTCCTACACTTTGTACTTCTCGAAGCATTTCCCCATAAACACACCTTCCAGTGTTTCAACAGAGCAAACCTGCAAGGCGCACCTTCAGTCTGCCCAGCATCTGAGTCCCACCCGGTGGTGGGTAGGTGCCCTGACTCACGGCGACCCGATTTACAGCAGGAGGAAACAGTGCCTGGACCTGCGTCATGCATGCAGTCCCCGGTGTCCGTCCAGCTCATCGAGGCCTTTCCTCTTTTCTCGGCCCGTCCACTTTACCAAGCACGATGTCCTTCTCCAGGGACTGGTCTCTCCTGACAACGTGGCCAAAGAACCTGAGACAAAGCATCTCCATCCTCACTTCCAAGGGGCGTTCTGGCCATCCTCCTTGCAAGGCAGAATTGCTTGTTCCCCTGGTGGTCCGTGGTGCTTTCAATAGTCTTTGCCAACACCACCATTCCAAGGCATCAACTCTGTGTCCCATCATAGTCCAGGGCAGGGCCCTTGGACTCCTTGGTAGTGTCTCAGCAGGATCTTGTGGAATCATCTTGTTGTTGTTGTTGTTGTTTTTAAAAGAAAAGAAGCAGAGCCAGAGTGCTCCTTAGTATCTGGGGTCTTAAAGGCTGGAAGATAAACAAGCAGCCATCTAGCTCAGAAGCAACAAAATCCACATGGAAGAAGCACACCAGCCTGTGTGACCACGAGCTGTCAAAGGGATCAGGTATCAAGCATCAAAGAACAAAAAAAATATCACTGTAAAGGTGGGTGAGTGCAGAGTGGAGACTCAAAGCCCATTGGTAGACAACTGGATACCCTCTTACTGAAGGGTTGTGGGGAGGAGACGAGCCAATCAGGGTGCAGGGTAGCAACGATGAAACATATAACTTTCCTCTAGTTCTTAAATGCTTCCTCCCCCCTCCACTATCACGATCCCAA